CCCCAAAACCCCAAAACCCCAAAACCCCAAAACCCCAAAACCCCAAAACCCCTACAAGTGTAGATTATTGAAATAGGAAATCCTAAGTGAGGCTAAAGGGTTCTTAGGAATATTTTTAAGAGAATTAGGTATTATCATTTGCTGTATCTCTCACTCTGCTTGCTTGATAAGGGCCTTTTTAGGCCAGATTCACGAGCGAAGGGATTATTGTCCTTCATGTAGGCTGGGAAGTCCAGGTCTTCGTCTTCATCATCGTTGTCTGAAGGTAGCTGGTATACTTCCTTATGTGAGGACTTTGAAATTTCGTTAGGATCTAGTGATGGAACTCCTCTCTGGTTTGCATCAGTGCTTATTGAAGGGTGGATAGGGTTTTTCTCCAAGTGCTTCCCATCCTCCCAAAATTCAATAGGATCATTCTTCATTATAAATGGGTTATTGGATTCTAAAGTTATCTCAAAATTTACGATTATTAGATTTAAAACTTTTATCAAATTCACTGTCGTTCTTGTTATCCGCATACACTTCAGAAGGAGCATTTTTCTATAATATAATTTCTTGCCTTACAAATAGGTCCTTTGAATGCAGAGATTTAGAAGAAGGATTGTTTTGATCTTTTATATACTCCTTTCCTTGAAGATCCTCTACCATAGGCATACTTTCTCCTATTTCAAACATGTTCATCAGATTTGCTAGCTTGTCAACCATTGTACTGTCATAATTCGCTAAGTCTGAGTCAATAATTTCTTACCAATCTTTTCATCAATTTGGTTCTGCAAGTTATTCTTCTGCTTCTCTTCTCTTGCCTGCTTATAACTTCTTAATGAACTGTCAGGCTTTTTCTGTAACTTTTTGAAAGGATTAATCACATTTTTCTTGGACTCCTCACTAGTATCTTTATCTAGGGATAAAATTTATAAACCTCACCTTTAATGCGAGATTTGATAATTTCCTCAACGTTGAAGGTGCCTTCTTTACTCCTTCTTGTAAGGTATTCGTTGATCTTATTCGAGCTCTTTGAGCAAATAGACTGTATATTTGCCATCTTTGGCTCTGGGATTTGCTCCTATAAAAATACTTAGACACAGAAGGTTGAGCAAAATTCTTATAAAAAGTTAATTAAGTCAGATATTTGTGGCTTCCTCAATTAAATCATTGATTTCTTTTACCTGCTTTTGCATCGTGTTTAGCTTGTCCTTTTCAGCTGAGAACTCATACTTATCGATAATGTCTTCTTCCTCCTCAGTAAAAGTATCAGGCTTGGGAGTGGCTTTCGACTTTGAGCTCTTATGTGCTGACTTTCTTGTGCTTCTCTTGGGAGTACTGTCATTAGACTTAATAACCTCTTCTTCAAAATCATTATCATAGTCCTCATCCTCCTGACCGATATTGATCTTAGAGGGAGACTTTACTTCTTCGTCATCGTCCCAGTTGAAAGTCTCTGCTTCGATGTCAATTGATTTATTGTCACTCTTGGTTTTTATGAATGGCACTTCTTCAATAGATTTATTCTGCTCTCCATATTTTGGCTGGTCCATTACAACTTCCTTATCTTGGAGCGTCTCCTATATTTTAGAATATTGCCTACCTTCTTTGGGATGGACATATCAAACTTTGGTTTTGATTGTGGCTGGGATTCTTGCTTATCATCCTGGAAGGTCCTTCTGAACTTCTCATACTCGCTCTCAGCAACAGCATGTGGGATAGCTTTCTTCTCAGTGTTTGGTAAAGGAATATTTCTTTTAAAGTCATCTGTAGAGTCTTTAAAGTTATACTCTTTCAGCTTTTTCTTCCTATCTCTATTCTGGGTCATCACTCTAAGATAATTTGTCTTCAAAGCTTCTAGATTTTGTTGCCAAATTTCTTGGTTGAGTCCACTTCCTTCACTGAAGCCAGTCATGTAGTTCTTATTGAAGTTCTCTTGAGTTCTTGCCTTGTCTCTTGGAAGATTATCAGGGCTAAAAATAGCCTTTGAGTTATCAACGGATTGGTTAGCAATGTTGTAATCTTCTTCTTGATCTTCATTAGGGTCAGGTTGTTCATATATTTCCCTTTCCTTGGTGTTTTCAAAATCGTAATCGTATCTTCCAGAGCTTCGGACTTCAGTTTTTTTGCTCTGTCTGATTTCTGGAGCTTCTTGTTGTCTTATTTCTTCATCTTCTTGAATATCTTCTTGCTCATCTTCTTGAATGTCTTCTTGCTCATCGTCCAATTCTTCTTCATCAGGTTGTTCATGGTTTCTTTCTTTGTGATAATCAGTGAGATTAGGTACTTTTCCTTTAGTAGTTCCCCATGGCTTTCTCTTACTTTTATGGGATTTAGCTGTTTTCCTAAGCTCTTCTTTATCAACTGATTGAGCTACATCTTCTAGCATATCAAAAGGGTCTCGCTTTGATTGAATTACAGAGTCATTTTTGGAGGACTTAATGGTACTCATGCTATTCTCCATAGGTTTTCTCTTAAGGTTGCTCTCGTTCTGCCCCTTAATCATTTCCTCAATCTCATCGAGATCTTTATTAAAATTTTCTATCTTGTTGATCTGCTTGACTTGATGGGTATCTGTGGCTAATTTGTCAAGATCTTCATGGTCCTGTTCTTTCTGCATGAGTAAATCAGCATCTTCCATCGCTTTAGAGAGCATTTTCTTCGCATCTAGGACCTCTTGGTGCTCTTTCCATTTGTCTTCCTGTTCTCTGAATTGTTTCTCAACTGACTTAAGGCGTTGCTCTCTTTGGATTTCTTCTTCTTCAAATCTGTTTGACTTAATGTTTTCATCAATTTCTTCGTCATCATCTTCTTCCTCTTCTTCTGGATCAGTAGCTTTGTAATTTGTGAACTTCTTAGGGCGTTTTAGGGTACTCATCTTGAGAGGGGTTCCTACGTCATCACGTTCAAAGTCTCCATCAAATTCGCTGGACTTCCATGTTTCAACCATTTGTTTGAGAACTTTGGATTCTTCAGGGTTGACTGGCTTGTCAGGATCTTGGTCGTAGATTTTTACAAATTTAGAACTCCCTCATAAAGATTGGTTCATAGATTGATCAAATTTGTAGGTTGGAGCATCCAAAAATTCAGAACTAGAGTTAAGTCTATGCTAAGCTTACTTCTTTTGTTGAGGAAGAAGAGTTCCTCCAGCCGGAGTGCTCACAAACTTGCTCTCACCATCCATCTCTTGCTGCTTTTTAGCCAACATGGTTCCTAATTCACCATAGAGGCCTTTTAGCTGGGTTGATAGTTTTGAAGATGATTTCTCTGCTTCTCTGGCATCTAGAAATTAACCAATCTTCATACAAAAATCAACTTTTGGGTTTTGAGGCTGACTATAATTCCTCTCTTCGTGATATTGTGGTTGGACCTTTGGAGCTTGCTTTACAGGGGAGGGAGGAATTTCATCTATAATGTGAGAGAACTTCCTACTTTGTTGTGGCTGACCAGCAACAGTCTGATGTGTATCCTTGATCACCCTTTGGAGATCTATAACTTGCTGAAGAGTATTCTGGTACAGCTCTATCATCTTCTTTTGCTCTTCTATCATTAAATTCATTTGTCGAGGATCATTGTCATAACCTTGGCCGGTAGCAGCTTGCATCATTGCTGGATTCATCTGAGGATTAAACTGGGGTGGCATCATTTGTTGGGGCTGGCTTGGGTATTCTTGTACTGGTTGGCTCTGATATTCTTGGACTGGCTGAGCCTGAACAGGAGGAGGCTTGGTGAACCCTTCGTTCTGATCTATTCCATGTGAAGGATAATTAATCTCAGGTTGTCTCACTGTACTCGGATTAGTTCTTTCACTCTCAATATACCCATGTGGATTTTGAGGATATTGAGGTTCATTATGTGAGAATTGGTTATTCTGTTGAACATTCTGAGTCCCAGCAACCCTTTTAATTCCACTGCTCATAATTGGATTATTCTCGGATGGTTCAAAATACTTGTTTCTATTATTGACATCTAAGGGTCTTCCCTGAGTATCAGGGATATGTTTATTTTCTTCTCTTCAATATTGCTCGTGTAGCTGTCTCTGTTCATCTATTTTGCGTCTTTCCTGAATCTCTTCAAAGTTCTTTTCTTCTTGTTCTTTCATCTTCTTAATTCTATTCCTTTCTTCAATTTGAGCTTTAAGTTCGGCCTGATACTGCATCTTTTTCGCAATTTGTTCAGGAGTTTCCTCCTTTTGATTCGTAATTGAATGCTGTCTAGCATAATGCTGGTTATAATTATAATCACTGTCTGGTCTTTGGGAGTAGTTAGAAACTGGTCTACTACCAGGTTTCATTCCCGGCTGTTGAATATTACTCTCAACGTTTCTCTGATACTTCAGGTCTTCTTCTTCAAGCTGTCTTTGCCTGTCCTGCTCTCTTTTCTTACGTTCTTCTATCTGTCTCTGTAGCTCCATTCTGTATTCATCTTTGTTGTATTTTGGCATATGGGACCTGTCATTCACAGTCATTGAGTCTTGATTTTGCCTGTAGTCGTCTTCTTGGTATTTCTGGGGTCTTCTACTCTTAGCGCTACCCATTTGACTACGAAGGACTTCACCATATTCCTTTTGTTTCAGCTTTTTCTGTCTGAGCTCGTCCTCTTCATTTCCTTTGAACATGAAGTTTCCTTCTGGATGAGAGGGATGTGGTACTCTATCATTATGTTCACCTAAATTTGTGAGTGATGAGATTACTATAAACTGTCTTTTGAGGAATTTGGGGAGCTTTGCCAGACATTATTTCACTAAATACATCATCAGCGATTTGCTTTCTTCTCGAAGAGGTATCCGAAGTATTTGCTGAGTAGTAATCAGGATCTGACACGGCCTCTCTTTGCTTCTGTATCCTTGCTCTTCTAGGATCAATGTTCTTATTCTGATTAAGATGCTTCTGGAAATCTTCCTGCATTTGTCTCTTCATATCAGCTTGCTTTTGTCTAAATATATCATTCGAAGCAGCAATCCCTGGATGAATTCCCATCTCAGGATTCGAGGTCTGAGGTTCAGTGCTTTCTGGATGCTTCCTCCTAAAAATAATCAACAAGAAATATTACAAGGTCTCAGCTGAAGAGGCTACTTCTTCAGAGGGCTTTCTGTAATCATTCTCAGATCTCTGGGAATGATAATCCCGATTGCCTTCATCTCTACCATAATCCTTATACTGCGGCTTGATCTCTCGGTTGCTCTCAAAATCAGCCTGCCTCGCAGGCTGAACGAACCCAGATTCTATTTTGGTATTCTCAGGGAACTTCAAATTTTCCTGATATTCGTGTGGAGGATCTTGAGCAGGAGGATTGGAATAGGTGCTATAAGTAGACTTGGCAGAGCCTAGTCTACTTTTCCTTTCCATTGCTCTTAACCTTAGCCTCCTATCTCTATCAGATTCCCCTGGAATGACATCTGACTCTTGCTGGGAGTATCCTTGGCTGAACTTATTGGGATCCCTACACCAAAAGTTAGGAGGTTGATTAAAAGAAACTCTAAGGGAATACTGAAGGGTGGTCGACTTACTCAGTGGCTTTTCGGACAATGCCTGACTTGTAAATGGGGTCATGAGTGAAATCTTGCCTTGGGTCCATGTTTGCGCTTCTTTTTAAATTGTTATAAGGAAATATAATTGCTGGGGTTTTGGGGTTTTGGGGTTTTGGGGTTCTGGGGTTTTGGGGTTTTGGGGGTTTTGGGGGTGTGGGGG